CTCCCTGGGATGGTCAATGGAGCCAGGGATCAGATCAGAGCACCCCAGGACTGCTCTGGGATCAAAGAGCCCCCCAAAATCTGGGGTGGAGCCAGGGCAGCTCTCCAGACAGTACAGGGGATCAGCCACAGGGTTCCAGGGTGGGAGATCCCAAATGTTGCACCTTCCCTGCATCCCTGGGTGTGTTTCCTTTCTGACTGCAGAGTAAGAAACCTGGGGGAATGGAAAATCATCCTGTGGGAATTCGCCATTAAAGGATATGAGGCAAAACCCATTCCTACTCTTCCCTGGAACAAAGCAGTGCCTTCTTGGCCTGATTTATTTTAGAACGGAAAATGAAATTGTGGAATGGTTGGATGGGAAGGGACTTGTCTTATATTACAAGATGTGGCTGGAGGTGTGTGTTCAATTCCCATCTGCCAGAGCTGGGGCAGCTCTCTGCTGTTCTTTGGGCACTTTTCTTTATCTCTCCCACAGCCAATCTTTTCTCCAGGAGATCTCTCTTGTTCATGGGCCACTAATTATTAATTAATTCCTGTTCATGGCCAGTGAGTGTCCCTCCATGGCTGAGAAAATTCCATTATCCCATGGGGAGATGCTCTGCCCAGGGGAGGGGCCAAACATTCCTACCTGGATCCAATCTGACCTGGGAACAGCACAGCAGCCTTTGCCCACTGCATTCCCAGAGGAGCAGCTTTCTTCCCACTGCATTCCCAGAGGAGCAGCTTTCTTCCCACTGCATTCCCAGAGGAGCAGCTTTCTTCCCCACTGCATTCCCAGAGGAGCCCAGGCCCATATCGCCCAGCCCTGGAGTGCAGAGGAAAACTCCCCCCTTGTGCAGGATCCTGCTCCAGCAGAAGCACAGCTGGCACTGCAGGAGGGCTGAGCCACCCTGGGATGGGGCTGCTGCCACCTCCCTGACACACAGGGGGACAGGGCTGTTCTGATTCTGTCAGGAGTTTGTTCTCTTTTTTTGTACTATTGCATTTGTATTTTTAATTTTCCTAATAAAGAACTGTTATTCCTTCTCCCATGTCTTTGTCTGAGGGCCCCTTAATTTCAAAATTATAATAATTCAGAGGGAGGGGCTCTACATTTTCCATTTCAGGGGAGGCTCCTGCCTTCCTTAGCAGACACCTGGCTTTTCAAACCAGGACAGGACTTTAGAGCTCATCCCATCCCTCCCCTGCCATGGCAAGGACACCTCCTGCTCTCCCAGGCTGCTCCAAGCCCCATGTCCAGCCCCTGCCAGGGATCCAGGGGCAGCCCCAGCCCATTTTCCTGACTAGATCTGGATGTGATCTTCCAGAGCAGAGGCTGCCCATGTTGGGATCAGCAATTCCAGCCCTCCTGGGTTTTCTTTTGGAACACTCCAGCCAGTTTTCCTAAACTGTTGGAGCCATTTTTCCAGCTGGAATCCTGAGGCTGTGGCTTCCCCAGGGCAATTCCACTTGACCTAAAAAGCTGCTGCTTTGTGTGTTTTAAAGCTTTGCCTCTTCATTTGCAGAATGGCTTTTATCCCCAAGCCCTGAGTGGGGGGACAAATAATGCCTGGGGACTTTATGGGATATGGAACAGAACAAATGGCTTCTCCTAAAATATTTTTTATCTTCCATAAATCTTGATTCTGCCGCTCTATCCTTTCCTAGCATGAAGCACCTCTGAACCCAGGAAAAAAAATTGATTGGGGAGGATTTTATAACCCAGGTGTGATTCCTGTGTGGCAAAAATGAGAGAGAAAAAATTTGTTTTCTAGGTCTGCATATCCAGATTCCACTGGGGTGCTGCCTCCAGCCCTCCTCTCCAGGAGAAGGGATGGGAGAGGAGCAAAGCCAGGTCACGCCTCATCCATCTCCTGGCAGGGAGCTGCTTCCTGACCTGATTCCCATTTCCAGCTGCCTCCAGGCTGTTGCTCCACAGCCTGTGAGGAATCCCCCACCAGTGGCTTCTCCACAGTTCTGCTCCTCACGGAGGGATGGGCAGGAGAGCTGCAGGGCTTGTGAATCCAGGAATGTCAGGAGAAGTTAATGGGAGCCTTTGCACTATCCCAGTTTGAGTTCGTGGATCTTATGATCATGGAAAAGTTTGGCTTTGGGAAGGTGTGGGAATCCAGAGCTTCCCTCTGGCTGCCCTGGAAGATCTGGGACCCTGGCAGGGGTTAAGGAACCCCCCTGGACACACTGTCTCTGATCTCTGTCCATGGAAAAGAGTTTTCAATCTTACAGGATCAATTACAAGCTCTGAGTGTTTGATATAAGTAATAATTAAGTGTGGCACGGGTGCAAAAGTAAAATTTTAGGATTCTAGATTAGGGGTCCAAAGGGGACAAGATGGAGGAAATTGGGTGTGTCTTGTCCTTTTTCTCCTTCTTCATGCCCTCCATGTTTCACTGTGGTGTTGGCATTTTTCTGTTGGTTCAGGCTGGGGACACACTGTCCAACGTAGGTGACAGATATTGGCACGTTATTGTAAATCCAGCACAGGGAGTTTCTGGTATTTAATGTTTGTAACATCCCACTGAGGGCAGAGCCCCACACGCTGCCCTGCAGGACAGAGCTGCGGCAGGGCAGCAGAACATGTTAGAGATAAACAGAATAAACAACCTTGAAACCAGCACAGATGAATTATGGCTTCTGCTTTGGCAGCGGGGCTGACAGACAGAGACTTTCTACAATCTCGGAATCATCAATACCACAAATTCCAACAGGAAGGGACCTTAAATATCATCTATTTAATCTGTTTCCACCTTCCCAGCTTTTCAGAGCTGTCTGCAAGGTGGTTTCACCCAGAAAAGCCTGAAAAAGGCCATTTCGCCATCTTCCCATGGGTTCTACAAATTTCTCCCTAGAAAAATTAAATGGGAACACCTCCAATCCCAAACTCCGCTCACTGCCAGCAGGGAAGAGGGGAGAAATCAGCTTTCCTGGGATGCAGCTCCAGCACAGGGCCTGGGTGTGTCTCTGTGTGGAGGAAAGCAGATGGAGAGCTGAGGACAAAGAGCCCCCCTTGAACTCGGTGAGGCTCAGAGCACGCGAGCAGAGCAAGAAAATCTTCATGAAAAATGAACGAAGAGCAGTTGGCTGCCAGGAGATGAAGCTCCTGGAGTTATCTGGGGCATGAAGAAACCCAGCAGGCCAGAAAAATGTGAGTGGAGAGCAGTGGAGGTGAAAAGCGAGGCTTTATGTTTAATTAATCACCCTGGAATGGAGGAGTCCTGCTGGGGACAGCAGGGACGTGCCAGGCCTGGCTGTGCCACCGGGTCCCCACCAGGGCCACTGGCTCCTGAGGTCCTGTTGGAACCCTGGGTGCTGAGAATTTCAGATTTTCTGTGCTGCCAGGCACTGACCCCCCGGAGAACACTGCACTGACCTGAGGCCATGGAGAAGGCTCCCAAAATGGAATGATAGAACTGGGATTGTGGGTTTGGAGTTTGAGTAGAAGTGTGTGATATCACAGGGTGGAAAACTTAGAGTTTAAGGGCTTAGAATATAGTAATATATATAAAGCAAGATGGAGGTTTTAGGGCAGAGGCTGCTCCTTCTCCTTCTCCTTCTTCTCCTTCTCCTTCTCCTTCTCCTTCTCCTTCTCCTTCTCCTTCTCCTTCTCCTTCTCCTTCTCCTTCTCCTTCTCCTTCTCCTTCTCCTTCTCCTTCTCCTTCTCCTTCTCCTTCTCCTTCTCCTTCTCCTTCTCCTTCTCCTTCTCCTTCTCCTTCTCCTTCTCCTTCTCCTTCTCCTTCTCCTTCTCCTTCTCCTTCTCCTTCTCCTTCTCCATGGGTTTGGTTGGTTTTTGTGTAATTGGATAAAAAAGTTCACATTGCAGGCCATGGGTGGTTGGTTATTGGGTTAAAAGTAAAAAGAATTTAAGTGCAATTGGTTAATTAGACAGTTTATCCTTAAAAGGCCCCCTTAAAAGGTAGAGAGAGAGATAGGGCTCCATTTTTAGGTTGTTAGAGTGAAGTGCTGTAGAACTCACAGTGTGTGAAAATATAATATAGATAAAAATTAATAAGCATCTGAGTCCAAACGAAAAATACCATCTCATGCATTTAATCCCAACCCTAGCAAAAACAACAACAAAAAAACAAAAAAAAAAAAAAAAAAAAAAAAAACAAAAAACAAACAAAAAAAACCACCAAAAAACACCTAAACCAAAACAAAAAACAAAACAAAACAAAAAACCCAAAAAAACCAAAACAAAAAACTCCAAACAAACAAACAAAAAAATCCAACCAAAACCCAAAAACTCCACAGTGTCCCATTCAGTTTTTCCTTTTCCCTGATTTTTTGGGATGATCTGGATCAGTGGAACCTGTGCTTTATAATGCTGCACATCCACACAAGAACCCCCCGGAGGAAGCAGTGCCAGGGCTGGGGGGGTTGGCACATCTGGTATTTTCCTGCCTTTGGCATTGGAAGGAGAATTTTAAAAGGGGGATAAAGAAAAAAAGAAAGAAAAATCCCAATCAAATCTCCCCTGGAGCTGTGGTTCTGTGCTTGTTGGGTGACAGGTGAGCTCAGATGGAGGAACCATTTCTCTCTGAAAAGACTGACAATTTTAAACCAAGAAATAGGAAATAGAGGTGATTTAAAACCTATTTCACTCTTTTTTAACAGAGAAATAGGAAATGGAAGTAATTTAACCCTGATTTTGTCTCTTTAACCAAACAAAGAGGAAATGAAGGGGGATTTAATCCTGATTTTAACTCTTTAAACAAACAAGGAGGAAATGAAGGGGGATTTAATCCTGATTTTAACTCTTTAAACAAACAAGGAGGAAAAGAAGGGGGATTTAACCCTGATTTTGACTTGTTACCCAAAAAAAAGAGGAAATGGGGTGTGATTTCATTTTGCTTTGCTTTTCTCCCTCTGCAGCTCTGATGCTCCTCCTGCACCTGGGGATTTCCTGCCCTGGCCTCAGCTCAGGGCTTCGCTCAGGTCCTTCAGGCTTCCTGTTTTGCACTCAGGGCTTTCATTTCACCCACAAATCATTTCCTGTTCTGAGGCTCCCTGTGACTGATCCCCTCCATTTCTGCTCCTCTGGTAAATCTTTGCCCTCCCTTCCCTTTCCCTTTTCCCTTTTCCCTTTTCCCTTTTCCCTTTTCCCTTTTCCCTTTTCCCCTTTCCCTTTTCCATTTTCCCTTTTCCCAGCAGCTGGGTGGGTGATGGGGGAAGCTCAGGAGCTTTCCCTGACATCTTTAAGTCTCTCAGGTTGTCCCTGGATGCTGGGGGGGTGTGGTGGGGGCTGTGATCCTGCTCTGCTGCTGACAGCTTTTCAATTCCAGCCACGGGAAGTGTCAAGCCTCCCAAATTAACTCATCCAGCAGCATGGAGCCCTCTATTACTCTGCCTTTCCATCATTTTCCTGGAGTTCAAGTGCTGCTCTAAATGAATTAGTGTTGGGAAATGGGTGTGTGGGGGGGAAAATACCTCTGGAGAGGCTGAAAACCTGACAGGAATGGAGGAACCAGGGTAACCCTGAAAGGTTCAGAGGGATGTGGTGCTGACAGAATCATTTTAGCTGTAAATTACTTTTTATTTGGGGAGGTCACAGGCATGGTAGGAGTTTTTAATAATTGGGGATGTGATTCCAAGCTCGTTAAATGTGTGGCTGAGCTGAGGGAGTAACTGGGAGGGAGCTTTTGAGGGGTTCATTGCTTTCAGTTCACTGCAGAGCCACAAATTCAACAACAGATTCCTCCTCCTGAACATTCCCAGTGCCTGTTTTAAATATTATTATTATTGTTATTGTTATTATTGCTATTATTATTATTTCCCTGCAGCCTGTATTTTTATTTACCACTGGTTCTCACTCAAATATTTGCAAAACCCGATGTTTCAGTTGTAGCCTCTGGGTTTTCCCCTCCCCATGCCGCTCAGAGGCTGTGGAAAGACGGCTGGGGGTCTCCAAGGGTTTATCCAGGACCTACAGACCTTGGATTGCAGAGAATACTGATATTTCTGGGTCTGCTGGGAATGGAGAAGCACCCCAATAACAACTCCCATGGTAGGGTGTTGGAAGGAGAGGAACTTTAGGGTGTCTTCCAACCCAGCTTCCTGAGACCTGCCAGTCACAGAATTCACAGAATTCCTGAGTGGTTTGGTTGGAAGGGACCTTAAAACCCATCCCTTTCCCCCCTGCCACGGGCAGGGAACCTTCCAGAGCCCAGGCTGCTCCAACACTTCCAGGGATGGGGCAGCCAGAGCTTGTATGGATCGTCTCTCCATCCTGGTTGTGTTTGGCAGGGAGAAGCCCCCCTGTGTCCAAGATGTTGAGGGGATGCTGAGGGGTTTCCTTCCCTCCTGGATCATCCATCTCTAATTTAGGAAAGTCAGGCTGCCCGAACACCTGACCTGGCCAAATACCCAGGCGTGGCTTAGAGGTCACAGTGGTGCTCACTCAAAGGCTGGACTTGATTTTGGAGTGGTTTTCCAAGCCTATTCCATGATTCCCTGCTGAAGCTTGGACACAGCTTCCATGGAAGGCCCAGGAGCTCTGGAGATGTTTGCAGCAGCCCAGGGAGGCTGCAGAGCTCCGCTCCTGTCTGGCCACCAGCACTGGCAGGACACAGCCAGGCCCATCTGTCCACGGGGAAAAAGCTCCTTGACAGACAACTCCATAAGGGATTTAAAGATTGGATTTACTGAAAGAGGGATTATGGAGAGCTGGAGTCAGCGGGAATTTGTGCCTTTAGGGTGACATTAAGGTTTTGAGGAAATGCAGCTTGGATCAGGCTCTCCCTTTCTGCTGCTGGGGCTGGCAGAGCATCGTTGAAGTTGGGATAATGAGGGTTTTTATTAATGGGAATGTTCCAGAGGCTTTGGCAACACGCCTGGGGTTTCAAAATGTGAAAATAAATGGGAAAAGGAGCAGCTTCCCAGTTTTACATCCAGAACAAATGAAGTACAGCATGGCCGGCAGGAAAAATCCCAATGCAGACACCAGATCTGCTCTGAACCCTCATTATCTCACATTTCCCACACACAAGGAGATCAGGAGCTCCCACCACACCTGAGAAGTCCTTTATCAGGTGAGCCTGGCTCCTGCAACTGCTTGGGCTCCTCAGGAGTTCAGAGTAGGAGATACCTCCTGTATTTTCAGTCTTTCCCTCTCATTTGACATCCCATGGGATAAAACAATCATACTGATCTTAAATATTGGTGTATTTTTGCCCACCTCCTGCTGGGAGGCAGAGAGAGAACCTGGTTCTCCTTCCTATGATTCCCAGCCTGCATTCCTTCCCCCATTGCTCCTGTTGTGCTGGGATGTCCTTTAGCTCAGGCAGCTCTTTGCCTTCCCAGATGTATTTTTAGATTGCAGCCTCGTCTACTTTCACCTTCCTGCTGGCAGGATGAGCGGGATGACCTCTCCACATCCTCCTCTGCTGGTGCCAGGACACAGGAATGGCTCCCACTGCCAGGGGACAGGGCTGGATGGGATATTGGGAATCAGGAATTGCTCCCTGTGAGGGTGGGCAGGCCCTGGCACAGGTGCCCAGAGCAGCTGTGGCTGCCCCTGGATCCCTGGCAGTGCCCAAAGCTGGGTTGGACAGACCCTGGATAGTGGAAAGTGTTGGAACAAAATGGGCTTTAAGGTCCCTTCCATCCCAAACAATTCCTGGATTCTCTGATTGTCTCTTCCCCTCATCCTGCCTGGAGCCTCTTCCTCACTCATTCCTGTCTCCCTGCCAGCCAGAATTATTCTTCTCATCCCTCAAATGGGACCCCCTCAGCAGCTGGAATTCAAACCAGGTTTTTTTGGCACCAGCAAATGCTGACCCAGCAGGTCTGGCCCTGCTAAAGCTCCAGCTGCCTTGACCAAAACATCATGAATATTCATGAGGTGATTAATTAATGCCTCCTTGCTTTAATAGCTCCTCATGAAATTCTGTGTCATCTCAGGGGCTGGCACCCGTGTGGAAGTGTCACTTGAAGGTATTTTGGAGCAACCTGGCCAGGAGTGAACACGTTTGAGGACTGCAGTGACCCAAATCAGCTCCCCACGGCTGTGATGGTGATTAGTACCCATAATTAGAAATTCTCCAGGAGGGTCAGGCAGTGCTGCAGAGCTGGGATGGTGCAGGAAGGAATTTCCAGCTGTGGGCTATTCCAAGTTCAGCAGCCTCCATTGTTCTTTGCATTTACATGAAGTTTAGTGGCAAAACTGCACCTCCTGTGGCTGGAGATGCCCTCCAGGAGACAGCATCCCTTGGGAACAGGGAGATGGAAACATTTGTATGGATGGAAACAACATGGGAAATGCTAAGAGTGTTTCCTCCCTGTCCATTTTCCTTCCCTTGCCAGGACACGGGATGCTGGGTTATCCAGATTATCCACACTGCCTCCAGAGGGATTCCAGGGCTGAACTCGTGGAAGACTTCCTGGGGTTTCCGGGCTATTTCCAGGCTGGAGTGAAGAGAGCTTTGAGATTTCAGTGGGATGGGGATTGCAGAGGGAATATCTGCACTGGGGCTGGGGTGGGTGCTGGATTTATCCCAAATTTTTACCTCCAGTTGCTCACCCTTTCCCACTCAGCACTTCCAGCTCATTCCCGCAGGGTGCTGGAAGTGCCAATGCTCTGAATTATCCTGAAAACCACCAGAGGAGAGCAGGGACAGCAGCTCCTTCAAGGGCTGTTAAACACAGGGCTGTGCATCCAACCTCCAGCTCAGGGAGCTGCTGGATCATGGGATCCTGGAAGCTGCCAGGGAATTCTGGAGGCACCAGAACTCCAGGCTTGCTTTTGATCCCAAACATCTGCCACTAGCCATTGTCAAAACTCATCACTCATCCCCCAAAACAGCAGGAAAAGGTGAAGGGGTTCTATAATGTGGAATTAAATGAGCAGTGCTTGACCAGGACGGGTTGAACCACGTTAATTGAAGTGTTAATTACCTGTGGTATTAGGTATAGGCCAGCCTGGACTTTGAGCTTCACTCGGAGAAGTTTTACAAGTGGACCTCCAGCAGCTTGGAGAAGAAAATCTTCCTCAGTGCTTGTGGAAGCTGAACCAGCACTGTCCCCTGTGTGAACATCCCCTTGGGTGCAGTGGAAGGTAATTAATGAATTAATTAATGAATTAATGGCCTTGTCACACTTGGAGCACTCTGAGCTTTTCACAGTGTCCCCATCAGTGAAAGGTGAATAGATTCAGGCAGTGAATGAGGGTGGTGGGACAGGGTGAGGTGGTATCTGGAGAGGGGAGCAGCAGGAGCTGGGTTTGGTGTCTGGTGGCACAGCCATCAATTTATCCATGGGTACACGGAACCAGGCTGGGAATAAAAACAATTTATCTCATTTCCAGGACTCTCTGGTTTGGGGAGGTGAGGGTTGGTAACACCAGGGCAGGAGCCTGGTGACATCCCCTCATCAAGAAATAAATACATCTGTGAATACAAAATGTATTTTATATATGCATTATTTGTATGTATATTTAACTCTACAGCAGACGACTTTCAGTCCATTTCATAGAAAAACACGGGTTTGCATTGGAAGAGGCCTTAAGGACCATGGACAGGGACAGCTCCCACTGTCCCAGGCTGCTCCCAGCCCCAGTGCCCAGCCTGGCCTTGGGCACTGCCAAGTTTCCATGGGAATGGGTGCCAGGGCATCCCCACCCTCATTATCAAACCCTTCTTCCTCATAGCTAATTTCAATCAGAGAAGTTCCTAATTTAAATTGAGGAGTTTCTTCAGCTCTGGAATTTGTCCCAGCTTTGTGTGACACATCAGGATGGCTCAGCACAAAATCCTGGATACACGAGCCAGGAAAATCCCAACCCAACCCAACCCAACCTAACCCAACCCAACCCAGACCAACCCAACTCAAACCAACCCAACCCAACCCAACCCAACCTAACCCAACCCAACCCAGATTAACCCAACCCAACCCAGACCAACCCAACCCAACCCAACCCAACCCAACCCAGACCAACCCAGACCAACCCAACCCAACTCAACCCAAACCAACCCAACCCCCGTGTCTGTTTTGTCCCTCTTGCAAAGGTGACCCTTTATCCCACACCCATCTTTCTTTGCCCCATTCCGTGGTCTCATTCCACCTGTTGGGATTCACCCCTAATTTGAGCAGGGCTGCTGAAGTGACCTCACCAAAAGGCTCTGCCCACCATGCCCACCCCCACAGGGATGCAGCGGCCCCAGGAGCATGGGCAGCAGGCCGAGCTGCAGGAGGGGCTGAGCGCATTCCAGGAGGTGACCCCAGAGGAGGCCGCGGCCGTGCTGGCGCTGCTGGAGGAGCACGAGCCCCTGCTGAGCCACTCCGTGGCCTTTGCAGAGCACCTGGGCCAGGAGCTGCAGGGGCTGGAGGAGGTACGGAGCCACGGAGGTGCCTGGAAGGAGGGGCTGAGTCCCTGGGAATAAGCAGCTCTTCCCTGCGCTCTGAGAGAAATGCCAGGAGGAATGGGAATAGGAAGGGTCTGACTGTGGAGTGCTCTGGGGCTGGCTGAGGATAGGCAAGGGACAAAAGGGGTCCCTACAGAAGGAAAAGCAGGATCCAGGGGGAGTGAAAAGGGGGGGGGGGGGGGGGAATGAAACAGAGCTGGAAGGATATTGAAAAGAAAAATATAAACCAGTAAGAAGGGCCAGTGGGAAAGGCACGGGATATTTCCAGAATTCCCTGTGAGGATGGGGAGACCCTGGCACAGGGTGCCCAGAGAAGCTGGGGCTGTCCCTGGATCCCTGGAATTGCCCAAGGCCAGGATGGATGGGGCTTGGAGCAGCCTGGGACAGTGGGAGGTGGTGGAACAAAATGGGCTTTAAGGTCCCTTCCATCCCAAACTGTTCCAGGATTCTGTGGTTTTCCATAGATTTGGAAGGGAAAGGGAGGAAATGAAACCGAGGAGCTCACGGGTCCTCTGGAAGAGGATCCTTCAGTATCCCTGGCTCCCATCACTGGGTGGATGGAACTGGATGGGCTTTAAGCTTCTTTCCAAACCCACCCATTCCATGACTTTTGTGTTGCTGTGATTTATTGCATTTCTGCAGAGGAAATTTCTCCTTTAAGTGCTGGAACAAAAAAAACAAGGGAAGTTGCTCTGAGCATTTATCTTCTGCTAAAATATCTGGGTTTTTATGGTTGGTAGCCAAGGAAAAAGGGGTGGCGGGGGGGGAATAAGCCAAAGGAAATATCCTAAACCATACAAGAAACCACAAACCCTAAATCGAACCTCCTTTAGCTGCAGAGTTTGCTGTATTCCCATATATGATTTATTACAATTGGAAGTTAATCTGGAAGCCCAAACTCCTGAGGTTTGTTCCTGCCAGCTCCTGGCAAGGAATTCAGGCACTTTGTGACTGTTCCCAGCTGTAAAACACCCTGGGAGAGCAACAAATACATCTTTATTAAGTTTTTTGAGATGAAAGGCACCGTTGAATACATTATTTTAATGCCCTCTAATGAATAAATGTGACTTCCCTCTAATACAAATTAATTAATGAGCGTTTCCATTTCCGAGCCTTAATCTCCAATATTAAATGTTATTAATTCCAACAAGTTAGACCAGAACATGCATCCATTTAAATGTTTTCCCCACACCCCAGTGATAGCACCTTGGCTTTCTCCCCCATATTAATCACCCTCCTCTTACCCAGCTGTTCTGGGAATCACAGAAATCCCTGCACTGGCAGCAAGGAAAAGTTGATTTCTCCAAAGAGAAGGACGGCACGGCTGGGACACTGGGAGGCCAAAGGCTCTGATTTGGACATTGATATTCCTCCAGAATTCCAGGATCCCAACATATGTGGAACTGCAGGCAGCTCCCAGCAGCTCTGTGCTGTAGCTGGATGATATTCCTGTTCCTGGAGCCTCTGGAGAGCCCCTTCCAGCAGCACTGTCCCATCAGTGTCACCAGGGATGCTCCCCATGGTGACAGCCTGAAGGAGGGGCAGAGACAGGCATGGGGGAGGCTGCTGGCTCTAATTAGAGAGCAATTAATAAATGGGAAGCTCTGGGCAGAGCTGGTGGCATGGGATGGAGTCACTGGGTGTGGCAGGGAAGCAGAATTTGGAGCATGGCTGGTGCTTTTGGAGATGAGAGTGCATAGTTAGAGAGCCTGGGAGACCTGGGGGTGTCCATCTGGAGAGGGGACCTCAAAGCCCCTGCCAGGGCCTGAGGGGCTCCAGGAGAGCTGGAGAGGGGCTGGGGAGAGGGCATGGAGGGACAGGACATAGGGAATGGCTCCCACTGCCAGAGGGCAGGGATGGGTGGGATATTGGGAATTGGGAATTGTCCCCTGTGAGGGTGGGCAGGCCCTGGCACAGGTGCCCAGAGCAGCTGTGGCTGCCCCTGGATCCCTGGCAGTGCCCAAGGCCAGGCTGGATGGGGTTTGGAGCAGCCTGGGACAGTGGGAGGTGTCCCTGCCCATGGGGTGGAATGGGAAGAGCTTTAATGTCCCTTCCTAACCCAAATCATTCTGGGATTCTCTTGTGGGATGGACACTCAGGTCCTCAGGGGACTCCACCTCCTGTGAGGGTGAGGGCTGGACATTCCCTGCAGCGACACATTCCCAGGGCACAGAACCAGCAGGGTTTGGTGGCCTCTATGGACCAACAGAGACTTTTCTTCTCATGGCCAGATATTCCTGGACACTCCACAGGAATTTGCTTGCTGGGGCAGCTGGAAGTGCTCTGAGGGGACGCCTTGCCCAGGGCAGGGTTTTGTGTGCCCTGGCCCTGGGGACATGCAGGTGGCACTTGGCCAAAGCAGGACAGTGGCACTTCCACCAACATCCTGCAGGCTACAGCGACACAACCTCTGCTGTGCCTCAGGAGGGTGTGTCTTGGTTTGAAAAGACAGGAGTCTGTGAAAGAAGGCAAAAGCCTCCTGTGAAACAGAAAAGGTAAACCCCCTCCCTCCGAATTACCACAATTAAAAAAAAACAAACAAGCTTTCAGGCAAAGATATGGGAATGGGAATAACAGTTCTTTACTAGGAGAAAAACTAAATGAAAATAATAATAATAAAAAAAATGTAATTAGTACAAGTGAAACTAGTGATGGAGTCAGTAACCTGACATAACCTGACACCCTGAGGAGTCAGGGTGTTGGGAATAGTCCAGTTAAATGGTGGCTGCTCCTCCTGGAGTGGCAGATGAAGTGCTGCTGGAGCGGGGATCTGTAGAAGGATGGAGTTTTCTCTGAAGGTCTGGCAGTAGTTGGGCCTGATCTTCCTCTGGGAATTCAGCAGAGAAGAAGCTGCTTCTCTGGGAATCCAGCGAAATGGCTGCCAGTGTCTCAAAAAATGCTGACTTTATGCAGGTAGGGCTGCTTGGCTCCTCCCTCTGGGTGGAGCATCTCACAGTGGGATGATGGAACTTTACCAGTCATGCAGTGAGTCATTAATGGCCCATTAACAGAAGTTATCTCCCAAGAGGGAGACATTGTTTATGGAAGAGATAAGAAAACTGCCCCACTTCCAACAGATGGCAAATAGAATACATGCTTATCTTACAAGCCAGGACAGGGTGACAGACAGGACATTTGACCCCAGGATGGTGACACATCCCCTGCCAAGCTCTGAATCCCTCTGCTCCTGCTTCCCACAGGCCAACCTCCGGGCCATCATCTCCTCGGAGCAGCAGTTGGCCCAGCTGATGAGCGCCCTTGACGAGGCCCTGGCCGAGGTGGGCAGGGTGGAGGAGACCCTGCGGGTCTGTGATGAGCTGCTGGAGGGTGTGAGGCAGCAGATGGAGCACATCCACCGGGAGAGCTCCCTGCTGCACCACCTCGCTTCCAACAGGACGAGGCTGATGGATGAGATCCTGTTCCTCACGGTGCGTGGCTTTGCAAGGACATTAATCTTCAGCTGGTGAATCTGCTGGGAAAAACCTCCAGGGAATTTTAAACACTGAAAGCTCTGATTGTCTGCAAGCTATGGAGCTTCTCTGGCTGGGAAATGGGGGATGGAGATGTGAGGTTAGGATGGACAGAGAAGAGCTGGGATATTCAGGACCCTCACCATGGCCCAGAGGGGTCTCTGAAAGTCCTTTTCCAGGGCAGGATTAGGAATGACAAAACTGATTAGTGATTTAATAGCCAATAATAATGGCCTGGTAATACTAAACCAGCAATTAATGAACTAATTAATTAGTTTGCAACACCAGGCCAACCTTGGCCACCACTGCAGCTGCTCCTGTGCAGAACATTTGTTTTCATGGGGACTTCCATGGATTTCCTGACAGACACAGCAGCTGCTGCTGAGGGCAGCCCTCGGCTGTTCCAGCCAGCAGCATTCCCAGTGGGAAGGGAAGGGAAGGGAAGGGAAGGGAAGGGAAGGGAAGGGAAGGGAAGGGAAGGGAAGGGAAGGGAAGGGAAGGGAAGGGAAGGGAAGGGAAGGGAAGGGAAGGGAAGGAAGGGAAGGGAAGGGAAGGGAAGGGAAGGGAAGGGAAGGGAAGGGAAGGGAAGGGAAGGGAAGGGAAGGGAAGGGAAGGGAAGGGAAGGGAAGGGAAGGGAAGGGAAGGGAAGGGAAGGGAAGGGAAGGGAAGGGAAGGGAAGGGAAGGGAAGGATGAGGGCTGGCTGTGTTTGCAGCTGCCCTCTCTGGCTTTGTTGCAGAGCCAGCTGCAGCTGAGCCAGGAGCACCGCACTGCCCTGAGCCGGGCGGATCTGTCCAGCCCCGCAGCCATCGGAGCCTGCACGGCTGCAGCACAGGCTCTGTCCTCCTGCATGGACCTTCCCATCCATCCCAGTGAGTAGATTTTGGATCCCTGGAAGTGTGCAGGGACTTGATCCTGGCAGAAAATCCCAAGTTTTCCTTGTGGTGGGACTGGGTGTGTCTCCTTGGCTGAGATCAGACTCATGGATTATTTTTGGTTTTTTGATTTTATTTTCCACTCCTTGTCTGTATTTCCTTGGTACCACAGGAAAGCTTTTGCCCATTCATCAACTTTTGAGTGGATTTATCTCAGACTTCTGTCTGAGTTCCCAGTTTTCTAAGGGATGTGGGTCTGCAACTCCCCCGGATCCCCTCAAATCCCAAAATATCCATTTTTTTCCCCAAGGTTACCGGAAGCTGCAGGCAGTGGCTGAGCAGCTGATCCTGTTTGAAACCCTCAAGCAGAACTTTGAGAGTGCCTTCATCCACCACATCACCAACATCTTCAAGCTGCAGGTGGGCTCCACTCTTCATGGCAGCCTGAAATCCTGGGAAATTGGAATATTCTGGGGAAGTTGGGCCAGTGGCACAGGAGATTCTGCTGGGACAGGATTTTCCCAAATTGTCTCTTCAAAGACATCTTCCCCTTGCCATTGTCCCTCAGTCCTCAGGTTAATTTTCTGGGAATGTAGAAATCCATTCTCCCAAAATCCTTCTGGTGATATTCCTGAGGTCCTTAGGTCTGGAGATTTTTCACTTAGGTTTTCTTATTTTATTCTGGGGGTTGTTGATCTCTTTGTAACCTAAAACCCCAGGCTAAACCCCAGTCCCATGATCCTTTCATTAACACCTTCCATTAATGATCTGGCAGTTTAAAAGATTTGATGGACAAGACCCCTGTGGGCAGCAATCCCAGAGATTTCCTTCTGTGGAAAGGAGCAATTCCCAAATCCTTACTTCTTTACATCCTTAGTGTTTGGTTTTGAGCAGTGGTTCTGAGAAGGGAACTTGGAAGGAGCTGTGGGAGTTCCATCCATGGAAATTTGCAAACCTGGGCTGGGCACAGCCTTGAGCAAACTTTTCCATCTGGATCTACTCCAAACCTGCCCCACTCCAATCCCACCTGCACAAGTCTGCAGATGCAGTGTCCCAGCAGATTTTCCAGGCTGTTTTTTGTGATTTTTTTTTTTTTCCTGTCTTTTCTCTCCCTTTAGGGCAATTACCAGGCCCCTGTTCTTGGTCATCCCATGGCTGTCCCAAGCCATGGACCCCACCACGAGGAGCTGCTGCCCTACACCCCCCTGATGGCCTGGCTGAGGAACACCAGCCCTGCTCTGTTCTGGGACCTCCTCAAGGTATGGCTGAAATTCCCCACAAGCACTGCAAACCATTCCCTGGGGACAGGCAGCTCCAGCTGGGGAGCTCCTGGTGGGACCTGGCTCTCACCAAAGCTGTGAGGCACCTGAACTTCCAAGTTTTGTCCTTCTGGGAATGTCCAGCCAACCTGGAGCTCTGTGCCCAGCAGGAAGCTGGGGGGTGGCAGAGCTGTGTCGAAGTGAAAGGTCTGAAATGACCAAATCTGAACATTTTGCTCATGCCTGGCCTTTTCTCCCCATTCCAGGTCTATTCCCAGAACCTTGGCAGACTCTACGAGCGGGAAATCAAAGCTCTTTTTGAACAGGCCAAGATCTCCCTGTCAGGAAGAAGAAAAGGAAGTGAGTGATTCAAAATCTGCCCTCTGCACTGCTGGGCAGGGTTTGTTGGCACCCAGGGATGGTGGCAGTCACTTCCAGCACAGGTGGCTCCCCCAGGCTTGCTCCAGAACCTTATTTCCTGGGTCTGCAGGTGGCAGAGTGGGAAAAGCCAACTCTGCTCCACACCAGGCAGTGTCGGTGAGATGAATTCCCCACTTTTGTTCAGCTGCTTCTCAGAGCTGGAACTTTTGTCCCCTTCCCTGTGCAGGGCTCAGGAATGATGCACTGGTGGCTGGGATGGTGTTCCAAGGAGCCACAGGAGAGAGAGGGGGAGGTAGTAAAGCCTGGAAAACAAAACCTGTTGTCAGCTCCCTTCTCCCTGCTCTCAAAGATTCTCCCTCCACCATTATCTCCTAAAAAAACCAACCAGGTTTTCTCTTCCCTTGCCTTCACCTGCTCCAAGGGCTGGAGCTCCTCTCCCATGAGGACACACTGAGGGATCTGGGGTTGTTCAGCCTGGAGAGGGCTCCAGAAGACCCTTCCCCATCCCTGGAAGTGTTCCAGACCATGTAAGACAGGCTTGGAGCAACCTGGGATAGCGAGTGGAAGGTGTCCCTGCTGGTGGCAGGGGTGGAGTAAGGTGATTTTTTGGTCATCCCCAGCCCAAAGTGATTTTATGATGCTATAAAGCCTGCTCCTTATTTCAAGCAAGATTCCTCAGACTTTCCCCTGCAGGGGGAAGCCTGTCCCAGGAGACAGAGGGAATTCACAGCAATATTTCTGGAATGATTTCACAGTGAGCTGACTGCGAGGCCGTGTTGTCCCAAGGTGCTCGTTTCCACCAAAATCGCTGGGTCTGACTCAAAATATTCCAGTCAGGTGTTTCTGAAGATAAAAAGAGAAACTGATCTGTCTCCACTGAAATTTTTTTATGGCCCGCAAGTCACATTTTCCCTCAGCAAAACAAAGGGCTGTAATGGAAATTTCCAGGCCAGTTTGGCCCAGTTTGAAGGTCAGGCTGGTGTGTTTTGTCCATTAGAGTCAGCACTTCCAGCTCTGCACTTCCTTCATCACTGATGTCTAGATCCCAAGCCAGGGGATGGAGCTGAAGGGAGGGAATGGGGTTGGTGGCTCTCACTTTTGGGGTTTCTCACACCCAAAACATCCCCACCATCCCCTCCAGGTCCTCCTGCCCAGCATCACTTCCCCTGGGAAAATCACTCAGCCGCTGGGAAAACAGAGCACCTCAAAAACCTGGCACCGAGGCAGGATGGGGAGTGCTGGCACAAACACCTGCTCAGCAGTCTGTGAAAAACTAAGCAGGGAAAATTCACCTAAACAGTCCTAATGGCACCTAGATGGGCACCACTGGACCATTTATGGGAATAAAGTTGTTAAATGAAACAAAAGGTGGTGTAGGGCACGTGTGGCAGCCAGTCTGCTCCATCCCCTTCCATAAATGTTAAACTGGGATTTTCTTCCAGTATTTTATCCATCTTTAAATCCTACATGAGTCTGAAAACCAGGAGGGATTAAACCTCAGGAGAAAACCCTTGGAAGGCTACAAGGTGTTCCTGCTCTGGTAGAAATCATCCCAAAGTGTCTGCCCAGAGCTAGGGTTGCTCCATGGGCAGGACAGAGTGAATTTTGTTGTCCTGGGATGTCCCTGCTCCACTCCAGAGGGTGAGGACAGGTTTGGGACAGACAGGAAGCCCCAGGCTGGGCTGGGGTTGTTTAATACATCCTTGATGGGAGCACAACATTGGAACAACCTCTCAGTATGTGAGAAAAGGGGGAATTTTTAGCAAGTGGTGCCCACAGAGGTCATGGCACCTTCCCCAGGGCTGGTGGTGTCCCAGCCGAGCTCTCTGTGCCATCCCTGCAGCGCTGGGGGCAGAGCAGGGGAAGGTGACCCCTTCCCAGCTCCAGGACCAGCCAAAATTCCCCGTGTGGCTCTCCAGGGTGCTGCACGCGTGTCCTGCTGCAGGAGGCTGGCACCAAGGGCTGTCCCTGCCATATTCCTGCGGAGCTGGCTGCTCCCGGGATGTTTTGCTGGGCAGCTTTGGCTTTGCTGAACTTCTGCAGGAACCTCACCCAAGGTTCTCCTGCTCATGGATGGAGTCCGGGCTGTGAGGAAACCTGCCCCAAAACACCCCTCATCCCTGCCCCAAAACATCCCTTATCCCTGCCCCAAAACATCCCTCATCCCTGCCCCAAAACATCCCTCATCCCTGCCCCAAAGCATCCCTCATCCCTGCCCCAAAACACCCCTCATCCCCGCCCCAAAACATCCCTGTCCCAAAACACCCCTCATCCCCACCCCAAAACACCCCTCATCCCTATTGTCAAACTTCCTTCATCCCTGCCCCAAAACACCCCTCATCCCTGCCCCAAAACATCCCCCATCCCTGCTGTCGAACTTCCCTCATCCCTGCCCCAAAACACCCCTCATCCCTGCCCCAAAACATCCCTCATCCCTGCCCCAAAACATCCCTCATCCCTGCCCCAAAACATCCCTCATCCCTGCCCCAAAACATCCCTCATCCCTGCTGGGAAATATCCCAGTCCAGGTCTCCAGGCCACTTCCTTTCTCCTGATTATCCCAGTAAATTTTTTGGGCTGATTCGCTGCCCTCATAAATGATTTTATTTATGGCACCACCTGCTGATTTCTTGCTTTATGTGATGGGAGAGTTTAGAAGGCAACCTTGAGCTGTTTACAATTAATTAGAGGCCAGTAATTAAGTACTTTCTTTTTTTGCCATTCCATTTTCCACAGGCTTGTTAAATTCTTTCCCATTTGCTGTTGGAAGATTTATTTTTTTCCCGGTTTTTCCACTTCCCAGCTGGTGAAATTATAATGTAATGGTGAGAAAAAGACTAGAAAACAGCTCCTTAATTTAGTCCCGGCTGAGGTCGTGAGCAGGGCTGGCTCATCCCTCATCCCTGCTCAATGTGGAGCTCACAAATCCTTCCCAAAGGGAAAACCCTTCAAGGAGTGCCACAAATAAGGATATTTGAGATATTATGATGGACGGAGAGGTGACCTGACTCCCCCAGAACCTTTGGAATAGGGGAATGGTTCCCATTTTTAGAAATAATTAGGAAATAATCTGGATGTTTCCCCACTGATTCAATTCAGGGAGTAGAAAAATGTTTAAGCATATCTTTCAAAGGATTTTTTCAACTATTCCAGTCAGACCAAGCCCCCAGTGCTAAAACTATCAATGTTGGAGAAATATACTTATTTCCAGGTGAAATATTTTCATTTTAAAAGGGCGTTTTTTGAGAAAAAGCCATTCCCACTTCCCCTGGATAATTTTATGGCAATTTACAATAAAAATTAAGCACCAAACAATTTTCCTGAGATTTTTGCAGGTTTTTGTGCCAATATGTTCTCTTATCCCCTGGGATTTTTCCACAACCCAACTGTCAGGGCTAAGCACAAGGCAGCAAAGGGATAAACACCTCAATCAGTGAAATCAAAAGGCAGTTTAATGAAACAAAAATAACCAAAAAGAGGGAGAAACAAGTGAAAAGGCAGAGAAAAAATGGGAACTTCATCTGAATTCCCCATTTATCTGAATGCTACAGGAAAAGATTAATTCATGCATAGGCTGAGACATAAAAAGAGACATTTAAGACTTTCAATATCCAGGACTCCAGGAGCTGGAGAATCCCAGGGGGATGAAATTTCTGACATCCCACACCTCGTGCAGGTCTGCAGGAAACTTGGGAGAAGCCAACAGGGACCAGGCAGCCTCGGTGGAGCTTCCCCAGGAGCAGGGAAAGCCAGGAGGACACCCAGACCAGGGGGAACATCGGCAGGGTGAGTGTCGGAATCTGTGGTATTGATGATTCTGAGATTGTAGAAATTCTCTGTCTTTCAGCCCCGCTGCCAAAGCAGAAGCCATAATTGGTCTGTGCTGGTTTCAAGGTTGTTTATTCTGTTTATCTCTAACATGTTCTGCTGCCCTGCCGCAGCTCTGTCCTGCAGGGCAGCGTGTGGGGCTCTGCCCTCAGTGGGATGGTACAAACATTAAATACCAGAAACTACCTGTGCTGGATTTACAATAACGTGCCAGTATCTGTCACCTACGTTGGACAGTGTGTCCCCAGCCTGAACCAACAGAAAAATGCCAACACCACAGTGAAACATGGAGGGCATGAAGAAGGAGAAAAAGGACAAGGCACACCCAATTTCCTCCATCTTGTCCCCTTTGGACCCCTAATCTGGAATCCTAAAATTTTACTTTTGCACCTGTGCCACACTTAATTATTACTCATATAAAACACTCAGAGCTGGTAATTCATCCTGTAAGATTGAAAACTCTTTTCCATGGGCAGAGATCACAGACAGTGTCTCTGGGGGTTCTGTCCAGGGGGGTTCCTGACCCCCTGCCAGGGTCCCAGACCTGCCAGGGCAGCCACAGGGATGCTCTGGATTCCCACAGGTGAGGAGCTGAGGGTTCCTGAGGTGTTCCATGTCCCACCCACCCCGTGCTCCCTCCCTGGAGTGCCTGAGGCACTCCCTGTGCTGCCCCACGTTGCCTCAGGTGGACACAGACCTGCTCCGGTGTCCCCAGTGAATCCCAGAGGGATTCCAGACCAAAGGTGGTTTCTCAGCAGGTGTTGGAGCAGGTGCTGAGCGAGCTGCAGCCCCTTTGCACCTCAGAGCAGCAATTCCTGCAGGAATTCTTCTGGCTGGGCTGCGACTCTGTGGAGCTGCAGGCGCTGGAGGTGAGGGTGAGCACCGTGTCCTCTCCAGGCCTGTCACCCAGCCTGGCACATCCATGGGGTACCTGGGCTCCCCTGAGCTCTCATCCTCCAGGAACCAGCAGTGGGGAAGCTTAAAGAGGAGAATTAAATGGAATTTAATCCACAGCTCCAGGAAAATCAGGGGTCTCCAAGCATTCAGCAGGAGGCAGCAGAAATAAACCCAGAGCTCATTTTCCTGGCTGGGGGAGAGCAGACAAATCATTTGGTGGGTTTAGCTGGGATATTGGGATATTGGGATATTGGGAAGGAATTCCTCCCTGTGAGGGAGGGAGGTGCTGGGATAGAATTCCCAGAGCAGCTGTGGCTGCCCCTGGATCCCTGGCAGTGCCCAAGGCCAGGCTGGACACTGGGGCTGGAGCAGCCTGGGACAGTGGGAGGTGTCCCTGCCCAAGGCAGGGAGTTTGGGGTCCATCCCAAACCATTCTGAGATCCTTTGATAGATTCCACTCTAATCTTTTTTCAGGGATCTGCCACTAAGGGAGGAGAGCCCATGGCACCTCCCGAGGACCCTCCTCACACCAAGACCCAGAGCCAGTACGTGGGTGATGGGATACTCTGGGTGCTCTGATGGGCTGAAGTGTCCCCTCCCAGTTAATTCCTGACCTTTTCCATGATTTGCTTTGGTTTTTAAGGCCAGAAGAAGCCACAACCCAACTGCTGAGTGAGATCTTCAGCTGCCTGGAGCCGGAGCTGAGGGCATTTCTGGATGTCTGCAACACGGTTCACCCGCTGGGCTGCCTGCAGGTCCTGGTGACCTTGAGTGACTCCGTGTTTGGGACCTGGGGCCCTTCCTCAGCTCCCCCCTTGTCCTTCCTCGACTCCCTCCTGGGGAATGTGCTGCTCCTGGCCAAGAGCAACTTCAACAAATGCATCGTGAGTGTCCATCGTGGGAGGGAGCCCGATAGACCCAAGCGATGTTTGACCTCTTCCAGAACCTTCCAAACAGAATCCCAGAACCATGGAGGTTGGAGAAGACCTCCGTGATCACCGAGCCCAAGCTGTGCCTGACCCCCAGCTTGTCCCCAGCCCAGAGCTCTGAGTGCCACACCCTGGTGTTCCTTGGACAGCCCCAGGGACGGGGACCCCAAACCTCCCTGGGCAGCCCCTGCCAATGGCACAGCGCCATGCCAGCCTCAAACAAGGACTATCACATTCCTTGGATTATGGAAGACATTACAAATGGCAAAAACCTTCCCAAACCTTTTCCTTGCCTTGTTTCCTGTGCTCCACTGGATTAGGTTGGAGCTAAGGGTGCCACCTCTCTGTGTCATTCCCAGGGGACCTTGTGCAAGGAGATGGAGGAGGCCAGGCCTCCCAGCAGGATGAGAGGGGGAGTCCTGCCCTGTGTCAGCCGCTTCCAGGAGTTCCTGGCCTTCTCCGAGGAGCTGCTCCGGACATCCCGGCACCGCGGCGAGCTGGACAAGGCCCAGCTCAGGCTGGCCAGCAGCGTCTTCAGCAGCAGTGAGTGCCAAGGCTGGCTGTTCTGGTCAAGAAATGTCTCCCTGTGGCTGCAGGAGGGACCAGCCAGGGCACTGTGAGCTGCCTGTCCCTGGGTACCCAAATCTCTCTCCCCAAGCAAGGTCCTGGGAGCACCAGGCACGTTCCAGGAGTTCCAGGGTGGGAGCTGCCTGTGCCTGAGCACTGCCTGCACCTGAAATCCCTTTTCCTGAGCAAGGTCCTGGGAGCACCAGGCAAATTCCTGTTGCTCTGTCACAGCAGGACAGGCCCGGGGGTGACAGGGCTGATACACACAAGGGCTCAGCTTTGGCTCCAGTTCCAACATCCCAGTGGAGGCAGGGCTTCTCATGGATCAGATTACTCTTACAAGGTCTTGGGAGCCAGAAAAACTCCCCCAAAACCACCAAGGGGTGTTGGTAAGGAGAGAGGGGTTGGGAGAGCAGGATGGGGAGCTTCCAGTAGATCCCTGTGTTGTCCCAGTGGAGCCCTCAGCTTCCTGTCAGTGGAAATATCCTGTTTTCCTCCCTGGAGAGGGTCTGAGGGGCTGCAGAATTCCCAGTGCTGACCACTGATCATGAGGTGGTGCAGAGGGGCAGCTCCCACCTGAGGGTGAGCCTGGGGAGACCCACTGATAAATCCATGGACACGGCCTGCCAGGCTCCAGGAATGTTTGCAGGGAAGCAGGTCAGGCAGGGAATCATGGACAGGGATCAGGATTTGTGTTATAATTACTCCCTGTGAAGTCAGGTGGTTCAAATGAGCCATTCCAAAGGCACAGCCCTGCTGAGAGCCTGCAGGGGTTCCTCTCCACACCTGATTCCCTCCTTCCTTTCCAGTCAACAGCCTCTCCTCAGCAAACCTGAAGGTGAACACGGATATGGTGATGATGGAGAATTTCCACCACATCCACAACTTCCTGTGCCAAAGGAACATCCCCTGCCTGGAGAGCAAGAAGAGAGAAGCCAAGCAAAGATCCAGGGAGCACATGGAGAAATACATCACCACGCACGTGGGCCAGCCCCTGGAGTGGCTCAAGGTGAGTGCAGGACCCTGGCCTGGGCCTCCAAGGTCAAGGGCTCTTCCCAAAACTCTGGATTAACTGGTGTTCAAACCTCCCTGCCCTGAACCCAGTCTGGGATTATGTTACTTTGTTGTCACAGAATATGAGAACATTGGGATTTCATTCTGTTCAGGGATTCCCAAAATCCTGACATGGCCTTCTCCAGCTCTCCCAGTCTGAGCGTGGACACCAAGGGAAGGTGCAAAGGGGTGTAAATAGTGCAGAAGCCCATTCCTTTTTCTTGGAAACAGTCTGTACATTTAGGAACCCTAAATCCTTAGGATTTAGGGTATTTCTCCACAGCCAAATTGCAGCAGGAGTACCCAAACAGATTCTTGGGCTGTATGAAGAGACAGGAGGATGAAGGAAGGGATTATTCCCTTGTTTTACAGTAGATGTGGAATGCCCAGTGTTCCCTTCCCTGACCACTGCTGGGTTTGGCTCTGCAGTCCCACCTCAGCAGCATTACAGAATCCCAGGCTGGAAAGGATCCCAAAGGATGACCCAGTCCAAACTTCACTGGGGAGGCTGCTTGGATGAGATTCTGTAGCTCCCTGTCCAGTCACATCCTGAAAGCTCCAGTGGTGGGACTCTATCACATCCCTGGGCAGGTTTGATCGATCATGCCAGCTTGTTCTCACTGGAGAAAGTTCCTTACATCCAGACAATGTGATCAGCCTGCTTTTCCCCCAGGGAAGCCTTTCCCACTCTCTCTTCTGACAATCCAAACCATGTGTGGGTTTGTTCATTTTCCTGCTGCCTTGTCCTCGTGCCCATTTCCAAATGGTGGACCAAGATACAGGGGGTAGAATTCCAAAGCATTGGTGGGGAGCTTGTTCCAGTCTGTTCCCAGTTTGTTCCCAGTCTGCTCCCAGTTTGTTCCCATTCCTACTCCGGTTGCGTGCCGGCATCTGGCAGACCCCAGCTCTTTTTTCACAGCTGCCTGGGCTGATCCATCCAACGCTTCCCAAGTGGCTGCTTTGTTAACTGAGCTAAGGGCATCTGGCTCTGCTAACTCAAACAGACATTCCCTCCTTCCTGAGACTGCAGCTTTTCCGCTCCCTCCCTCTCCCTAAAATGTCTCACAGATGGAGCTCAGCTGGAATTATTTATGGGACCTGTTACTTCCAATTTGTTTCCAGTTGTTGCTGTCAAACATTTGTTGGCTTGGCTGGAAAATCAGCTCCGTGCCTCGTGCTCTGCTATGGCTTCAAATCCTTCCTTTTCCAGGGGAAAGGATCAATTTTTTGCTCATAACAAAGTGAGTGGGATGTGAGAGCACCTGGAAATCCTGGCATGGCCTTCTCCAGCTCTCCCAGGTTCTTTTCACCAAGTGGAGGTGCAAAGAGGCTCAAGCAATGCAGAAGCCGATTCCTGGTTCTTGGAAACAGTTCATGCATTTAGGAACTCTAAATCCTTGGGATTTAAGGTATTTCTCCACAGCCAAGTTGCAGCTGGAATACTGAAACAGATTCTTGGACTGTTTGAAGGGACAGGAAGATGAAGGAAGGGATTATTCCCTTGTTTTACAGCAGATGGGGAATGCCCTGTCCAGCTCTGGCAGAGAAGGCAGGAGAATTGAGAAAATTCAGGTTTTGCTTTACACTTCTACAGGTTTTGAGATCCCCCTTCCCCACCTCTGGCTCCAGACCCTCTGTGATGAGAAAACTGGGCGGAGCACCAAGGAATGAAGGGATTTTCCAGCAGTCCCATTGCTCCATGGGTCTGCAACCCTTAGGGATGCTGCTTGTTGAGTAGGGAGGGGAGAGAACCATGAAATTCCCTAAGTTCTGCTTTCCTGGAGGATAAAAATCTCCAACATTTTATTAAACATTCTTAAATTCTTCATTTCAACTGAATTAGACATAGGAACTGAGGGCAGCACTCAGGTGTCAGCCCTGGTGCAGGAATTCACCTTGGGATGGCTCCCCAGGGAATGTCTCCTTCCCTTCCCAGCATTTCTTTGAGGGGGTCAAAGCCCGCCTGGCTCAGGGGGTGAAGGAAGAGGAGGTCAGCTTCCAGCTGGCCTACAGCAAGCAGGAACTCCGGAAGGTCATCGAAAAATATCCTGGCAAGGAAGTCAAAAGAGCCCTGGAGACCCTCTACAGGACAATCCACAAACATCTGTCCCCAGAGGAAAATCTTCTGCCGGTAACTGGAATGGGATGGGTGTGACTGGGATGGCTGGGATTCAGGACTGCACTGCCTGTGTGGCTGCAGGGGCAGCGGAAGGAGCTGAAGTTTGCTTTTCCAGGTGGTGTGGCAGCCCATGGAGCAGGGGTTCTGCTTTTCCAGGCACTGTGGCAGGCCATGGAGCAGGGGTTCTGCTTTTCCAGGTGGTGTGGCAGGCCATGGAGCAGGGGTTCTGCTTTTCCAGGTGGTGTGGCAGGCCATGGAGCAGGGGTTCTGCTTTTCCAGGTGGTGTGGCAGCCCATGGAGCAGGGGTTCTGCTTTTCCAGGTGGTATGGCAGGCCATGGAACAGGGATTCATCCGGCAGTACAGAGAGTTTGAGGATCTCATCCAACGCTGCTATGCAGGAGCAGGGATTGCCCTGGACTTCACCATGGAGGACTTGCTGAGCTACTTCAACTCCATCACCATGTCCAACATGTAGGGAAATCCTGCTCTGGATGTCCGGAGCAGCTCAGGAATCCTTGTCTGCAGCCATGTTCCTGAGGAGCTGAACACAAAACCATTCCCAAGTTGGATATTTGGGTTCTTACCCTGAACTTAATCCCAAAGTCCCTCTGACTTGTTGGTCCTGAACTAAATCTCTCTTGGGGAAGTGGAGTTTTCAGACCCAAACCACAACTTCCCTGCTCCAGGGAATCATTTTGCCACCAGGAAACAACACTTTAAGTCTCAGATTTCCCCCTAAGTGAGCGCTGGTGCTACAACTCCTCTGCAGAACATTCACAATGGAAAAATGTCTTCTCTCCAGGGACTTTCTCCTTTTCTGTGCTCAAATTTCAGTGAGCCTGTGCTAAACCAGAGGGTTAAACCACATGGAGACACCTTGAGTGTGAGGTGTTTCCACATCCAGGTGTCCCAACAGGCGCCTCTGCTCCACAGCTCTCCATTGAAAGTTGTCCAGTAGATGGAAGTCCAGAGCTGTAAATATTAATTGATTTATTGCTTTTAGCTCAGATTTACTCACAGCTTAACTGAAGTGGAGAAATGTGCAGTTCTAGAGATCCAAACCAATCCTGCAGGGAATTTCCTGCTTGTAACCTATTTTTAGGAATCTTCCTACAGCAACTCACCAATATATTGTCATTCTTTAAATGTTGTCTCTGTTTCTTGGGATGATCATGGGGCTCACATGTTGTCTATCACAAACTTCTTCCTAAACAACTGAAGAGTTTGAACTTCTTGATACTTGCCTCACAGGACAAAGATTATTTTATTTATTTTGCATGTTAGAAAATAATCTTGGAGTCAAGATTCCCTGTGCATTGCCAGGGAGGTGGGAGGCTGCTGTGTCTGCTTGGACAGCCCCTCTTCTCCAGGGATATCTTGGCTTCTTCACTGGGAACGTTAAGCCAACACATAAACCCAGCTTTCCCTTGTAAAGGGAAAACTCCAGACTATTTCTCTGGGATTTTGGGTCAAGGTCCACCTCTGCAGGGAGCAAAGTTTAGAGCTCCTGTTTCCAATCTCATCATTGCCTCCCTTTGTCCCGTGACGTGGCTGCTCCCAGCAGGAAGAGGATGGTCATAGGAAATCATCCAGCACTGCCTTCCCAGCTCCTCGTCCCTCTGCAGGTAACAGGGATTTTGCAGCCCCGTTTCCTTTCAGTTTTTGGCTCAGGGGCTCACCTGGGCGGGGAGGGGAGGAGTTGGGGACTGTAGGTGGGACATAAAGGTGCTGCAATTTGGGAGCACCCGAGGGGATGCCCGTGGTGAATGGATTTGCAGAAGGGTTGGGCCAGGTGGCTCTGAGGTTGTTGAGCACCAAACACCAGCAAGGAGGGGCAGGATCCCTCTGGGTCTGGTGATGGCTCCCCCATCACTGGTGCTGTCACTGGGCACAGCCATGCCCAGTGTCATGGAATGGGATAATGGGATCTTGCTCCAAACGGGCTCCTCTGGCTGCAGTGAGCAGATATCCCAGTGAAACTGCACCTGGCTTTATGCTGACCCTGCTCCTGTGCCAGCAGGGCTGTGGGATCTCTCCTCTCCAACCACTTCCCATGCAGAATCATGGAACCATTTAGGCTGGAAAAGCCCTCTGAGATCATTGACTCCAACCACCCCTCCTGACCTGCCAACACCCTAACCCATGTTCCCAGAAGCCAAGGGCAGCGCCAGAGGATCTGAGCCCAACCTAAGCCACCAGGAACCTCTGTGACCCCAGCCTGGTGAGTCCCCACACCCTGGTGCTGCATCACCCGGAGGCCCTGGCCTCACCTCTGCCTGGTGGTGACATCTGGCAGCTTAAAGACAAATGACAAGAAACGTCCCCAGATGTTTCCTGCTGCTATGCCAGGCCCCAGTTTGTCTCCACTCTCTGGCTTGGCTCCACCTGGATGAGTGCCCACACCTGGGAGGACCCAGAGGGGGCTGGAGGAAGGATCACTCACATGGTCCCTTCCTTGGTGCACACGGGGTTTGTGTGTTGGGAGCTTGGCGTCCTGGTGACACCAGCCCTCAGCGATGTCACTCAGCTGGTCCCCCACACCTGGCCCAGCCAGAGGCTCTGACAGGCTCGGGTGCCACCAGGTGCAGACCAGAGTCCGAGGTTCGTGCGGGAAGAGGATTTATTGCTTCTGTACTTCTGCCACCTGCAGGACAGAGGAAAACCTGGGCGATCCCCACTCAGCTCCCTGGACTCTTTTCCATTTCCCTGCATAGCTGGATGCTCCTAACTTCCATATCCTCTCGTTTTCCATGCCAGTTCCCAGCCCTGAGAGCATGGCTTGGAAGGAAGAGGGAACAAGCCCACCCTCGTGTTTCATCCAGCGCCTGGACCACCTTGTGCTGACTGTGAAGAGCATTGAGGACACTGTGGCCTTTTATTCCAAAGTCCTGGGCATGGAGGTGGTGACTTTCAAGGTAGCCCTCACCTGAGTTAGCAAGACCCCACCAGGCCCCCAGGGTGTCCAGGATGCCCGGGGGGGTGGGTGCTGAAGATGTCCAGCCCAGGAAGCCTCCCTTACTCTGGCCTTTTCCTCTGGGAGCAGGGGAATCGCAAAGCTTTGCATTTTGGCCAGCAGAAGTTCAACCTGCACGAGGCTGGGCAGGAGTTTGAGCCCAAGGCTCGGCGTCCTGTGCCCGGCTCTGTGGATTTTTGCCTGATCACAGCAGTGCCCCTGGAGCAGCTGGTGGAGCATTTGCAGGTGAGGCAGGCCCAGAGTGTCCCCAGGGCAGTGTCACCCCAGGAGACACAAATCCAGAGCCTCTAACGGACGCTTTCCTGGGGAATGTCAGGGTTGTCTCATCCAGCAGTTCATGCTGTCAGGGCTGGGGGAGGAGGGCACAGTGACGACGTGACCATCAAACCCCTGCTCTCCTGTGTCCTCCAGGCCTGTGGGGTGGCCATTGAAGAAGGTCCCGTGGCCAGAACTGGTGCTATGGGTCCAATAACATCCATCTACTTCCGAGACCCCGACGAGAACCTGGTTGAGGTTTCCAGGTACTGCACAGATGTGGCTGCAGGCACTGAAGGGGAGCCCTGACCAGAGCCCATCCCAGCAGGAGGTGGGCTGCAGAGGCCAGGTTTGGCTGGCCAATTTAAAGGTCCAAGCTTTAATTGTGTAAACCTGGGACAAGCCTCAAATCATAGCCACAAAGTAGGGCTGCAAGGATGTTGGGAGTTTTCCCAAAGCAGCCTGCTCTGCTCTGGGTGTGAATCCTGCTTTTATACATCTCCATCATGGAGATTTCATGGCCTTCTGGGAAGATCTGTCCTGCTGCTGCTGTACTGCAATTGCTGGGACATTTTCCCTAATTTCTGCTATTCCTTTTGCTACACTGTTCACCTGTCACTCCTCTCCTCTCCAGAGTCACTATTCCACAGTTGGACATTTCTGTCTCCCTTCCTCTCATCCTCCTGCTTCTTGTCTCAAGCTGCCTGGTGCTGGTGGCTCTCCCACCAAGCCAGAGGTTTAAATCCAGCTGTGGCTGTCCAAACACACACCTCTCCTGGGGTTTGGGAATTTGGCCTCAGTGTGACACTCAAACACTCCTGAAACTGAAGATCCAAGTTTCGTCCTCAGCTCTGTATCAATAATTGTGGGGTTTCTGTCACTCAGGAATGGAAAAAGCAGGGATGAGAAGTCTACATGAAAGGCAGAGTGTCAGAAGTCCAGGAGTTCACCTGGATTTATGCAGGGATTGAGGACGATCTGATGCAAAGGAGTCTGACTCTGATGGCACCTGGTTATTTGTGGGACTGTCCTGAGTTTTCTTCTTCCCTTAGTTATTTAAAAAGCCATTTCAAAGTCATCTAAAAAGTATAAAACTATGAAGGACCTGGGGATTCTCAAGCAGAGCAGTTCCGAGGCTGGCCACACTGAGGTAGCATCGGTATCCTCACGGGAACAGCGCTGGAAAGGAGGGAGGACTCTTCTGACCTCTACAGTGCAAATCCTCTATAAAATTGAAACAACCTATGAATCGTGCTCATTTTTTCTTTGCTGGAATTTCGTGGGAAATCCAAAATTCTTCATGGTGCGAAAAAAAGACAAGGTTACAAGATAATTCAGTGCTTTGGCTGCTCAGCGGGGATGAGACGGTTTCCATTGAGTCGCTTGTGGGAACTAAAGACAGGAATGCCATGGGAGAAAGCCACGGGCATCTCCTTGAATGGGATGGGATGCCTGGGAGGGATCCCCGGCAGCGGAGTCCCCTCGTTCCCGGGGCCCGCGGAGAGCAGGTGGCGCTCTCCAGGGTGCTGATGTCCCCCGGCCGTGTCCGGCCACGGCGGGACCCCTCTGAGGGTCCTGCTCCCGGGAGAGGGTCAAAGCCCATGGGAGAAGGTTAATCCCCATGGAACAGGGTTGATTCCCACGGGGGAGGATCAAATCCCATGGGAGAAGGTCAGTACCCATGGGAGAGTGCCAAAGCCCATGGGAGAGGGTCAGTACCCATAGGAGAGGGTTGGTACCCATGGGAAAAGATCAAATACAATGGGAGAGGGTCAGTACCCATGGGAGAGGGTCAATGCCCATGGGAGAGAGTCAGCACCTATGGGAGGGGATCAATGTCCAAGGGAGAGGGTTTTGTTCCTTCCACTGGAGCCCATCTTGGTTCTGTCCCACACATCAATCCCTTTAAGTGCTGGCTGACCTGGAGGACCTGCCTAGCTCCGTGGCTTTCCTGTTCACTGCAGGGTGAAACATGGAGTGACACTTTTGGGGATCTCACACCTGACCCAAACCATGGGAAACTCAAAACTTGTAAAGGAAATTTAGCAAGTATTTGGAATGTGTGGATGATGGAAGAACTTCTCTTGGAGTGATGGTGCTGGAGCACTAGAGGCTTTGCTGGCTGATGGTTGTAGTTGTCTCTGGGAGAAAGAAACAGTGGGGCTCAAGGTTTTTCCCTGGAGGAACCACTGGCCACAGGCAGCATTGCAGTTGTCCCTGTCCCAACCTTTGCTGGGCTCCCCATCTATTGGAAAAGCCTCTGTATTGTGAGTACTCCAATTAAAATGGATGTTTTCCTTAATGCAGCATTAAAGCTTTATGGAGAAAATTAATTTAATTCCATTCTTTATTCAGCAAGATTCATTGTGAATATTGGACAGTGGGAGAGAGTGGATGAACAGAGGTGGAAAAACAGTTTTCTTCTGGATGGTTCATTCCCTGCACAAACCACGACCAGCAAGAGAAAAGGATCTTCCTTCTTGTCTGCTCCCATCTCATCCCTCTTGAATACTGATTCCCACAGCAGATTCCACAATTTTATCACAATCATATTGGGAAGGAGCTCTTTGGATCAGCAACCCCAGTGTTTAATGTAAAGAAATGTTGAGTTCTCCATCTCACCACTCAGGGAGGGTGCAGGGGAAGGGGCCTTCCAGGGAATGGCTGCTCAGGAGCACAGATTTCAGATTTCATCCATTTTCACGGAAAGATGAGTTAAGAACCAAGTCTCAATGAGCTTCCCCTCCTATCACAGGGGGGAAACAGGAGTTTCCCAATGGGAGTCACAGTGTATGTGCCCAAGTCACCTACCAGAGAAGCCCATGGGCCAGCTGGTGGGCCAGCTCAGAACAGGCGCCTGGGAAAGCCTAGGAAAGCCAGGAGGGATGGTGTGGGACAACCTTGGGGTGGGCAGGGATCACCCTCAGGGTGTAGGACTGATGTAGGATTCCTCACCTACCAAATGTCTCCCCTTCAGAAAAGACATCCAGGTCTCAAGGGTCTGCAAACCATCCTTTGTACACAGAGAAGTGGCAAACAGTGCCCATGGGTTGGAGAAATGAGAGGCTTTCACTGGGAAGGAAAATAATCCCTCTGTGCTGGAGAGTTCTGCAGGCAGGGCTCTTTGCAGCAAGGATGGATTTCTCCTGTGGCCAGTGGGACTGCCTGACCCCGACCCCAAAAGTGCCCAGAGGAGCACTAAGAAAAGCACAGGCTCTGCAGCTGAACTTCATCCTCTTCCCGGGCTCCACAGTCAGGCATTCTGCACAGAAAAGGTTTGGAATCCAGCTGTAAGAAATGCACAAGCACCATTCCTTCTGGAGAACTGGATGATACCCCAGGGTTCTCAGAGATTTCCATGGGATTTTTTTTTATACTTGTGGTGGCCTTTTAGCTCCTCAGCCAGCACCAACCAGGAGTTGAAGTTTACTCCGTGTCCTAACCCAGACACACCTCCTGCCTCATGAGTTCCTTTGGCATTATCTACTGGAAGGGGTGGGAACTTGCCTGTCCTTGGAAATCAGTAGAAAAGCACCAATAAAGAGAGGAATTGCAGCTTCACCAAGACAAGCCCTTCACCAAGCCCCCATGCTGTCCCCTCACAGGCTGCAGGCCAGCTGGGAGCTGTCTGCCAGGTTCTCCAGGTTGTCCACCAGAGTGATGATGGTTTCTATTTTTTCTTCTGGAAGCACATGGGAGGCATTGGATCGAAACTTCTTCAGGAGCGACTCTTTGCTCAGGGGCTTCCTCCAGTGCCCATAGAAAGTGTCACATTTGCCCGTCAGGACGTCCCCACTGTGCAGGAGCAGGGCCACCTCTCCGTACATCTTGTCAAAGTTGGCCACATTGTCTTCAGGGTGCTCCACCACCACCTTGTCCAGCAGCTCCCTGAGCTCCTGCCGCTGGATGCTGCTCTCGGAGAAGGAGCCCAGGCCCACCTCGCCGTCCAGCAGGGCAGCACAGGCGTTGAACTGGAAGGAGTGCCTCGCCTGGTGCTCCGAGCTGGGGAAAGGCCGGTTGATGTACTTGGACACCGGGATCTTCAGCATAATGCTGCGGATCAGAGAGGGGGAGAAGGACCCCGCGTAGTTGATGAAGAGGTTCCGGACGGACAAGGCAGCATCCACCACCCAGTGCATGCCCAGGTGGGCTGGGAATCGCTTGAAGGCAATGTCCTGCTTTTCCAGGAGGAACTCGTGGTGCTCGCCAGGCGCGGACAGCGGCTTGGGCTGGTAGACGCTGTAGAAGGCGCTGAACCCTGAGCAGCCAGGGATGTCATCCAAGATCAAGGGGTTGGCCTCCATCCCTCGGCCCGCCAGCAGAGCAGCCTCCAGGCCCAGGCGGGTGGCGTTCCCCACGTGCAGCGGCTTGGCCTGGGTGGCAGCGTTGGCCATGGGTGCCCCGGCCAGGGACGCGGCGATGCCCAGGGCGTGGCAGCACTGGGCCGAGCTGAGCGACAGCAGCTTGGCCGTGGCCGCGGCACTGCCCAGGGTGCCCACCACCGAGGGAGGGTGGAACCTGCAGGGGGACGGCAGGAGTGAGCAGCCCTGGCTGCCCGGCACAGGGAGCACCAAAGGACCCCTCCCACGGAAAAATTAACGGGAAATGAGGGACCCGTCAGCCAGTGGAACTCCCTCATTGTTTTGGTGTGGGTGGGATTCACCTGACTCAGAATTTAACCATAAATTTTAACTAATAATTTAACTTTAAAATCAGAGTTTTGCTTCAGCTTAATTTAACTCTGATTTTAGAGTTAATTAGCATAAATTTAGTCTGAAAATGGAGTTTCTCCTTGAAACCTCTTCAGGAACACCAGGGTGAGCTCAGTATCTCCAAAAAGCAAATTGAACTTTCTCCAGGGGATGCCATGGTTTGTGTCCGCATAGCCAAACTTTCTATCCCTCAAACAAATAATTCAGCCTCAAACACACCCAAGGGAACAGCTCCTGGTTGATTCCATTGCTTGGATCTCACCAGCAGCAGCTGGCCCAGGGCCGGTGCCCACCACCAAACTCTACTTGGTTCTGGGATCCTGCCCTGGCTGGGTCAAACAGTGGCACTGCAGACTCCCTGGGAGTCCTCCTGAGGGCTATTTTTGAGGCAAAATCTCTGGAAATCACCAAATAAGTGCATGGTGCAATCACCTCTGGCATTTGGCTCTCATTAAGATTTTACCCTGGGGTAAAGCTAAATTAAACTGGACTTAAACTTGTCTTAACCTAAACAAACATTTTAAAACCCAGACTCACAAACCCTCTTCATCCTCAGCGAAGAATAGGAGCTTTACCTTTTGGGAATATCGTGAGCCTCCGTGGAGAAGTGCATGAGCCTCCCTTGCACTTCCAGGCCCACGTTGAAAGCCAGCAGGAAATCCAGGCCGTTGGGTTTGGTGTTGGGTGGGAGCATCTGGGAAGCTGCCAGGAGAGCTGGCAGGACAGCCCCAGAGGGGTGAGTGGCAGGGTGCCAGGTGTCATCAAAATCCATGGAATGAGTCTGCCAGGGAAACAGAGGTGAGAACGCGCTGGTCGGACACTGAGGGAATGAGGACTCTCTGCTGATATTCCTGAGGAAATTCTGCCAAAGCCTCCACTCAGTGTCCCCATAGAGTGGTTCGGAGATTCCCGGCTTTTATTCCCCACCACTGACCACTCTGCTTCCTGGAATGCTAATTCCTGGCACCACAGATTCCCCTGGGAGAGCCAGGAACACAGAATCCCCTGGAAAAGCCAGGAGCACAAATTTCCCTGGGAAAACTGAGAGCACAAACCCCCCTTGGAAAAGCCAGGACCAAAGATTCCCCTGGAAGGCCCAGGAGCACAAATCCCCCTGGGAAGATCTGGGAGCACAAATCCCCCTTGGAAAATCTGGGAGCACCAATCCCCCGGGAAGATCCAGCCTCACCGCCACGCCGTTGGTGAAGGCAGCCAGTGTTGGGGAGAGCTTCACTCCTGGCTTTCCATAGACTGAGCTCACGGCCACGGAGGAGTACAGCTCCTGTGGAAAGCAGGGAATGTCAAGGGAGCCCTGGAGGTGATGCCTCAGGTTTTAGCTTTTATATTTTTCAGATTCTGTGCTGCTTTAGTGTGTGGGTCTGGGCTTCATATTAGGGCATGGTGAGCTCTGTTCGTAGAGTAGGGAGACAAAACAATTCCATCTCTAGCTGGGGACGAAGCACAAATGATCCAAATCTCAGGCCCAAGAGCATAAACAATGTGGAATGAAGAAAGAAAACAGGAAAAAAAGTGGGACTTTGTAGGCTGGGACTGTAGTTGGGCAATTGAGTCCAGTGTGCTGGTGGACCAAGACTTATAGTGGTGTGGGACTCCGTGAGAAGTCATGCATTTTGTGACCATTTTGGGTTCACCTGGGGTGCAGCCCTGGCTGGGCTCTTGTGCTGCCCAAGGTGAATCCCTTGAGGCCTCCTAACAAATCCCTACTTTATTCTTTAGCTCCATCCAGCCTCTGTTCTAAGGCAGCTTTCACAAGGCAGCAGAGGGAACTGGGATGGTGCCAGCCACCCCCAGCCCCAGCAGCTGCTGGGATTAGCCCCGGCTGAGGTGGTGACAGTGACTGTGGGGGTGGTGGTGGCAGTGGCGATGGCGGTGTCAGTGGGGGTGTCAGTGGCGATGGCAGTGGCGGTGGTGGTGGTGGTGGCAGTGGTGGTGGGTTAGGGTTAAGGTTTGGGTTAGGGTTAGGGTTAGGGTTAGGGTTAGGGTTAGGGTTAGGGTTAGGGTTAGGGTTAGGGTTAGGGTGGCAATGGGGGTGGCGGTGGGGGGGCGGTGACAATGGCGATGGCAGTGGCAGTGGGGCTGGTGGTGGCAGTGGTGGTGGCAGTAGGGGTGGGGGGCAGTGACAATGGCGATGGCGGTGGCAGTGGGGCTGGTGGTGGCAGTGGGTCTGGCGGTGGCACTGGCGGTAGCAGTGGCAGTGGCTGTGGCAGTGGGACTGGCGGTGGTGGTGACAGTGGCAGTGGTGGTGGCAGTGGGGGTGGCAGTGGCGGTAGGGGGCGGTGACAATGGCGATGGCAGTGGCAGTGGGGCTGGCGGTGGCACTGGCGGTGGCAGTGGCAGGGCTGTCCCTGCCTGTCCCTACCCGGCAGTAGCGCAGGGCGATGTCGAAGACGCGCGTGGTGCTGCCCACGAGCCCCACGCCGATGCTGTCCAGGATCATCCTCTTGCTCCGCTGCCGCACGGTCGGGGACAGGTGCTCGGGCCGCGCCGCGCGGATGAACGAGGCGAAGCTGCTGGTCACGGTGTCCTCGGGAGCTCTGCGGGCGGCCACTGCAGCACCAGGACACCGCGAGGGGACAAGGACAGCGGTGAGCCCTGCGCTGGCAGCCGCAGCTCCACACCCCTGGTGTCACCAGACTCAGGGAACTGCACCTGCC